AAGATGGTTCATTAACTGTAATAAATACGAGTGTGTTTGAGGGCGAGAATGGCTCTTTCTAACATCAACAATGACGACTGAGAAGTTACGCGAGTTCTTACGCGATCCTTCTATACGGAGAGTTTTTAAGGGAAAAATGTTACACCAGAAATCGTTATACGAGTCATCCAGCAAATTTTGACACTGCTGTGCAATTGCACAATTTTTAATCATTTACACAAAAATTCATAAACTATCAGTTTTTCATAATTTATACATTACGTTTCAGTCAGCTGTGCGCTGAACTAGCGCTGTGCAGTCCAGTGCCTAGAGCAGCTGTGCGCTGAACTAGCGCTGTACAGTCCAGTGCATAGAGAAGCTGTGTGCTGAACTAGCGCTGTACAGTCCAGTACATAGAGCAGCTGTGTGCTGAACTAGCGCTTTACAGTCCAGTGCATAGAGCAGCTGTGTGCTGAACAAGCGCTTTACAGTCCAGTGCATAGAGCAGCTGTGCGCTGAACTAGCGCTGTACAGTCCAGTGCATAGAGAAGCTGTGCGCTGAACTAGCGCTGTACAGTCCAGTGCATAGAGCAGCTGTGCGCTGAACTAGCGCTTTACAGTCCAGTGCATAGAGCAGCTGTGTGCTGAACTAGCGCTGTACAGTCCAGTGCATAGAGCAGCTGTACGCTGAACTAGCGCACGAAGGTCAGCGTCCAGCGCAAGATGCGCTGGACGCGCTAAGCCCGAAGCGCTAGGTGCTAATTGGTTGTTACAGCTCGACGGTGTTTGCCCCGCAGTGTTTGGGAGTCCGGCACAAAGCTGCGACACAGGCCCCTGCTAACACCCCGTGTTTGTCTTTCCAATGGGATTACAGGGACGCCTTACGCGGGGTGTTGGGGTGTGTGTGGTGCTTTGTCTGTGGGGTGATGTGGGGGGGAGGGAGAAATAAGTCGAGTGAGAATTTGTGAGTGGGATTTGAGGTGGATGGGAGTGGGTGAGAGGTGGAATTGACTATAAGAAAGCTGAGTGGAGCGAGATGTATATGTAAATTTCGTTGTAGGTTGGACACCATGCAATATTGTCCATTTCTCCTAATCGTAGTTTTCATTAAAGTTCAGTGACTTTTTTAGTTTTTTTTTATGTTTTCGAAATAACTTCATTATTGCCTTCCACATTCGCCCGAATGATATTTAATTTTGGACTCGATTTTTAAGTCTTCTTGTGCTGACCAGGTTTCCGTCATACCGCTCAGGCTGCATTGCGGTACAGTTTTACAAGAGGTGTTTTTTATGAGGCAGTCCCGTGAGCACGAAGTGTGACCAGAAATTCTACCTGTGCAGCTCTGAGATGTACACAAAATAGCGAAAAACTCCAAGCTTGCCAGTTCTGTTTAAGATCTTGTGAAGAGCAGTAGGAGTTTACGGTCATGACGGAAGCGCTTCAAGTCAACAGATTTTGTGATGAAAGTGAGTTATTAAATTATGAAATCAGGCGATTTTGTTGGATTATCTTAGATATTTCATGGCTTGCTGTGACCTGTGCAATAGTGCATTAAGCATATCAAAGTTATGTAAAAAAGTCAGAGAAAATTTCACGTAAACAAATGTCATGTTGGACCAACGTGGAGCTCTGAATAGAGAAATGTTACAGCCATAAAAATATGAAAATTTTGTTCATATAACTCGCATTTCGAAGTTATAACTTGGTGCAATCTTTAGTTCTATCGCCAGTGAAATTTGGAATGTTTGGTCTACAAAATCATCTCAGCGTCAGCAAAATTATGAAATCAATCACTTGCTCATTCCGAGCTGGAGGTTTTTGTTATATTAAAATAATAAAAACATTCCTAGAATTTTTGGGACTGGGTATCAATGTGATAAAACTTCCCGTGGACGCAGTCTCGTCTCTGCCTCCGTCTCAGCCTCGTCTCTGCCTCGTCTCAGCCTCGTCTCAGCCTCGTCTCTGCCTCGTCTCAGCCTCGTCTCCGCCTCGTCTCAGCCTCGTCTCCGCCTCGTCTCTGCCTCGTCTCTGCCTCGTCTCAGCCTCGTCTCAGCCTCGTCTCTGCCTCGTCTCNGCCACTCCTCTCTCCCCTCACATCAAACAATCACTCCTCTCTCCCCTCACATCAAACAGTCACTCCTCTCTCCCCTCACATCGAGCAGTCACTCTTCTCTCCCCTCACATCGATCAGTCACTCCTCCCCTCACATCGAGCACAGTCACTCCTCTCTCCCCTCACATCGAGCAGTCACTCCTCTCTCCCCTCACATCGAGCAGTCACTTCTCTCTCCCCTCACATCGAGCTGTCACTCCTCCCCTCACTTCGAGCAGTCACTCCTCCCCTCACATCGAGCAGTCACTCCTCTCTCCCCTCACATCGAGCAGTCAATCCTCCCCTCACATCGAGCAGTCACTCCTCTCTCGCCTCACATCGAGCAGTCACTCCTCTCTTCCCTCACATCGAGCAGTCACTCCTCTCTCTCCCCTCACATCGAGCAGTCACTCCTCTCTTCTCTCACATCGAGCAGTCACTCCTCCCCTCACATCGAGCTATTACTCCACATTTCACTCAGCTTTGTACTCCTACCCTCGCTACTAAAGTTCCAGCTTCAAATTTCCCCCCCTGACTGCCACATTTTTGCACAAACGTAAAAATTCATCCCCCTGCCTTGCTCCCGTTTGGACGGCGTAATGGGGAATAGAAGCTAAATCCTCTACTCCTCCCCCCGCTTGAAATCGATAGAACTAAGGGGGAGCCGCCCCCTTGCGTTGGTATCTGGCGGGGGCGACTGGGCTGATGCACCGCGGGGAGCGACAGATATTTACTCTGCAAATGGTAGCTCAGAGCAAACGCTCCACCTCCTCGATCTTTTCTTTTATCTTACTTTGCTCTCTGCTTATAAGTTGAGTAGCATTTCAGGCTTTAAATTCCGGAGAGATCTTCCTATCGTAACAGCTGGAAATATTGTAAAAAGCTATCAGGGTTTTGCCTCTCATCTTGAATTTTCATGCAATCATGTTTGAATTCTCAGAGGTGGTATCGCCAAAAGCTGAAAATAATGTTGATGACACCAAGAATAACTTTATATCCAAATTCGATTATTGCTTGCATTAACGGGCTTCATCAACCATTTTAAATTTATCGTTTCTTCAGTGATTCATGTTATGAATCATGATTCATGATCATATGAATGATCATGAATGATCATCATGATTCATGATTCATATTTCATATGCCTAATGAGATGAAAGCTACGGCATTTCGCTGTGCTGCCCAAACTGTCAAGAATAATATTTTGAACTCAGTTATTCATCGAAATAATAACCATATCCCAAGCAAATAATATTTTTCTCCGTTCCTTTGGAAGTTTTCCGCACACAGATCCTCGAAGAAACTTTTTCTAATACAGACAATTTTCGTCTAGATAAACTTTTGGTGTACTGTACCTTGACGCCATGCATAGCAGTAATGTTCTTTCTTATATTGTGTATAATAATAACCTTGATATGAAATCGAGAAATTTTTATGTTGTTGTGGAGACGTCGTTATGCATTAAAATTACTTTCTGACACAGTGACACATGCCTTCTGATATATCAACGTCATCCAAAAAATTGTTTGACTCCCTGAAATTTTAAATCTAATGCATTCTCTGGTCATCAATCGAACGTGTATAAACCAGTATGTATAAATATAACAAATAAAATATAATATAAATATATTGTTATTTTAAATTTATTTAATATGGATTAATAATATATATATATATATATAATATTATTTATATACACTAGTAATAATTTGCAACAACGTGACTAGGATTCGTTGACATTTTAATGCCCTCTAAATTAAAAAGAAATATTACTGGCTTGACATAACCCCAGAAAGAGCTACGTCCTAACCCTAACCTAACCCATTTCAAACCACTAACCCTAACGCTAACCTAACACTTTTTACACCACTAACCCAAGCCTAACGAGTTTGGCGTTAAAAAGCATGCCGCACAATTGACTATAAACTAATTACCGAAAATATAATTGTGCGGTAATTGTGCCACGCGAATTTTTCGCACAATTACCTTACGTCGCGGAATGCCATCAAAAACGTCGCGCTATTGACAGACATATGTATATATAAATATATATATATAACCACCCGTGTTGAAATATAAATATATATACAGGTTTGATTGAAGACCAGAGCGTACTTTTTATTAACAATTTTCTTATTGTTTTTTTCGATGAGCCGAACGAAATTTCTTGCAGGTGCGAACTCGAAAACCGTGTATTGTTGGATGCACAAATTAAACCTGACCTTTACTGTCGATATGTCGACGACATCTTCGTCATCGTTCGAGACGAAGTTCACATGATGGAGCTGAGCGCGGCTTTAGAACGCAATTCCGCTTTGACATTCACTTACGAATTCGGACAAAATCACACGTTGCCTTTTCTGGACATACTGGTGCAAGACGATAATAATTCGTTCGTCACTAAAGTTTATCGAAAACCTACAGACGTCGGAAAGGTCCTGAACCAAGAAAGCGAATCAGCGCTACAAAATCAGCACTATACGCGCCTTCATACATCGAGCGTTCAAGACCTGTACCTCTGCTCGTGACTTAAAAACTGAACTCCGAACCTGCAAACAAATTCTTGTCAACAACGGCTATGCAAGCAAAACGATTGACAAAGAAATTTCGAATATCAGAGCACGTCAAAACCGAACAGATTTCCAAGCACCTGCAAAAAATTTCGTTCGGCTCATCGAAAAAAACAATAAGAAAATTGTTAATAAAAAGTACGCTCTGGTCTTCAATCAAACCTGTATAAATGAAGAACTTCTGCCTAACTATACTAATAAATATATATATATATATGTGTATAATACTATTATTATGAAAAATAATAATAAACATTATTATTTAATGCAAATAGTAAAAAATATTATACAAACCAAGGTGATAAAAATAATATAGTATGAATTTAAAAAATTTATGTGTGTAAATTTTGTTGTGTGCAGGCCGTAAGCTCAGGCCCGGCGAGAGCTGGTGCCCCGTATGCAGCACACCAATCCGGGCCTCAGAGTTTGAGGCCCACTTGGGCCTCGAGCTCGAGAAGCTGGGCCAGCTGTTGTCAGAGCGCAGTGCAGGCCCCGGGTCTGTGCCCCGCAGCTCCCCCAACTCCGGGCCCAACATCATGCATGGGCCCATGAGTCCCGTGACCAATCACAGGGCCAGGGACCCCGGATATGATGTGAGTATACTAGAAATTTAAAAGCGAAGAAAACTCCACAAAAATTCAGCATACCAATATTGAAAGCGTGCTGAATTTTTGATGAATTATGCCGAATTTTTGTGGAGTTTTATTTGCTTTTAAATGACTATTTAATCTGCGATTCAAGCATTATTAATTAATGTATTATATTTATAGTGACATAATAATGCATTAGTGACATTATTACTTATGATGTGAACATTTACTGTCAGGAAATTAAAGGCATTTTCTATCGTTTTCTTAACATTAAATTTTGGGGCCAATGTGAGGTACTGTAGGAGTAGGGTTAGGACTAAGGAGTAGCATTGAATATTGACTGTGGGAGTCCATATTTAATGTGATCTCAATATTACCCAGGAAGTTTTGGAATGCAATGCTAACTTAGAAGATTGAGACACCTGAATAATTTCTTTACCATACAACTGTAATCGAAAAGGTTTAGGACCTACTATGGAATATAATAAATATATATTATTGAAAATATAATAGCGCAATCAAATAAAGGGCTTAAAAACTAGCTAATGGCGTGATGGAATTTTATTTTGTAGGTATTTTTTTCGTGTAAAATTTTCCATGTATTGATTTTTTTTAAACAAGCCTGCAGAAAATTATTATTTTACCAGAAAATCCAATGCCAATTTTTTCCCTAAAAATCCAATGCAATGAATTTATGCTTTTTATCAGTAATTTGTGTGAAAAAAATATTCGTCGATGGGGATTTTGTAACAGTTTCTCTTCTCATAAAATCCGACTTTGGAAAATCATGTTTGGTAAATCGTAATTGGATAATCGGTGCAGCTTCATCGAATAGTTCCACGAGGTATCAGATTACAAATCAGCAATCGTCGTGAAGGCATCGGCATGGACCGCTGAGCTGTCCCATTCGAAACCTTAATTACTGATAATTATATACAAAAATAGATTATTGACATGAAAAGTCTTTATTATCCACATAAGTGAAAATTAAAAGCAGATTAACTGGGTTATCAATCTTTGTGTGATATAATTCTTCAATTTAGACACAGTTAAAAATTGAAGCGCCTCATTAAGAACAATAGCCAAGTCCCACGTACGTAATGCTCGTAGATGCGAAATTATACGTTGTCAAATTATGCTTACGCTTTGAAATCGACTATAAAATACCGCGTTTAGCTCAAGTATATGAGATGCATTATGACGGCGGTAGTGAGCACCACTCATGGGGCTAAGATTGTCGTCCTATTAGTCCTCATATGAGGGCTAATAATATCCCTCATATGAGGGCGATGCTACTCCCCTCACACGACCATAAACTGCACCTGCTCCCATACGCGCCGTGTTGTGCTGATCACATCTGTGGTCGCCTCCTTAACAAGCAATGCAGCTTACACTGACGCGTACAATATTGATGTACAGCTCTGAACTGGCTATACAAAAATCGATCAGTCGTTAATAACTAGGGGATACTTACGCAAATGTTTCGTTATTTTGGTTTTGTAAGAGCTTGAGTCTAGGGCAGCCGAAACGGTCTGATGCAGTCAATCTAATAAAAAATTCTACTTCTTCCGTTGTTTAGGCAGGCGTCTTGCAACATCACTTCATTCAAATAACGCGAAACAAGTCTTGAATTTAGATAATATATTAGTAGCATATAAGTGACCGCATCGTTACAACTGGCTTACTGCAAATGATAGTAATCCTAAACCAATGAGTACGATTACCCACCAGCAAAGTGTATATGAACTGCAGTCATTGGGACTCGTACTAATAGTATTAACTACACTGACTTGTCTTGTTTTATCCAGTTCTTGTTTAGTGAATGATCCTTAGTATAAAATTTTTTAGCCCTGGGTTAATGTAAATAACGTGACGCCGACCAATTGATTTAGAGTTGCTAATAAATTACAGAGCGAGGCTGAGCCTATTTATTGAATGACTAAATTACTAAAACAAGGCTTCAAGGGATCTGCTCTAAATGATGCACAAGTTGAAGCGATAATGAAAATAACAATAAATTTACTTTAGTTTTGTTTTTACGTTTGAGGTGACGCAAAAAAATGAAAGATCTATAACTGCTAAAAAACGTCACTTATATTTAATTTTCTTTTGGAGAACTCCATTGATTTCAACAAACTTTTTACAACAAGTCTCCCCACTACCCATCGTATAAGGTATTAGGAACGGTTTCGCTGATGGATAAGCAAAATAAATACAAATAGAAACTTTTATTTTTTAAACGGCAGTAAAATGTTAGGAGAATACCTTGACAATTTATAAATAACTTATCAACATGTTCGATTATTTCTAAATTACCGCTTCTATTCCCATAAGTATAAAAGGGGGATATTCCTTCTATAAAATGGACCATCGTAAAAATTTGTTCATTATTTTATGAAATTGCCACTGACAGGAATTGAAATCCTGCTCTATAATTACAGCAGTTCCACCTATAATGAACAATAAGCATCATATATTGCCAAAAACAAACCTGTCGAACGAATTTGTTTAATATATATAATCGTATATACGAGCAGTAACTACCTTGATTGCGACATGCCATTACAGAGTTTCAAGAATTGTCACGAAATCTATTGAATATCCATTAGTTTCATTGTGATAATTGAAGAGGCTCAGTGATGCCCTGGCAAGTATTTACAAATTTTTAATGCATTAAACTATCAGGTTAGATCGGCGTTGCCCAAAATCAATAATCCCTGCAATTATAGAACTCGTTATCCGGAATACCGTAAACTGACGTACGGCATTTGCATTGTTAGCAGACGTGCGAGCGCCTGCATAAAAATTCCATTTGGTCCGGCAAATTATTTCGAACAATATGCTAGTAACAGTAAAAAAATTGACTTACGTGCTGTATATTATTCATTGGTGACAGACGTGCTAGCTCATACATATAAACTGCAATTACATCGGCAGTTTATAGTAAAATAATCACCTTAAGATTAAAAATTAGCATTCACTAATCGTGTCGCATTGTGCAGTTGCGGCAGACTTCCAAACGTGTACATAAAAACTGCATTCATTCTTGATATTTAGTGTAAATAATATGCTAGTGATAAATAAACTTAAACTAAAGTGACGTATGTTGCATTTGCGGCAGATGTCCAAGCGTGTACACAGAGACTGCATTCATTTTTGATCTTTAGTGTAAATAATATGCTAGTGATAAATAAACTTTAACTAAAGTGACGTATCTTGCACTTGTGGCAGACGTACGAACGCGTGCGCAGCAACCGCCTGAACAGGATGCGCACGAAGCGCAAGCGGCCGGGCCGCGTAGAGGACCTCGCGTGTCCTGTGTGCAGTGAGCGCAGCATCGCTCCTGAGGACTTCAACCAACACATGGAGCAGTGTCTGCGGCTGTCTNTTTTACTTTTGCCAGACCTTGTTTGTAAATATTCACCCTAATCTTTTCTGTAGTTTTTGACATAATTTACGAATGTATTACATGTGTATATCATTTTCCTTGAAGTATATATAATATTACTGATGGAAGCATCGGTTGTTGTGGTGTCAGGCGCTGCCGCAGCTGCCGCCCCTCTCCTCAGGCTTGTACCTCGCGCCCAGCGTGAGCAGAAGTGACGGGGGGCTGTCGCTCCCCCCTCGTTGTGGGGGACCGGGGGCCTCTGAGGACGAGGTGGTCGATGTGGAGGGCGATGGACCAATGGACGACTACCAATGGCCGGGAGGACGGCCGCTGCGAGGGGCGCCGCGCCCCCCCTCCGGTGAGTGGCTCGTAAGAGTGACGTACTTGTGACCAATGATCGAGTGGCCGGCTACTCGCTGAGCCTAAAGCACCTGCTTACCGAAAAGAGTTACGAGGTTTTTACGGATCACTAAAATAGCGGGAAAAATTAAGAAGAGTAATGGCTTTTACGGAAAAAAATAACGAAACTGCTCTCTGCGCACCGACAGTTGCTCTTCAAATTTGTTCATATTAAAGTCATTGAGGACAAGTCTACGAATTGACCTCAGGAGCGCCAGAAGGAATAATGCAAATAAATTTATTGATCATTATTAGCAGTAAAGTTCCGCCTCATGAAAAGATCTTGCTGATGAACGAAACGAGATGCTGATTGTAGGAAATGTCGATATTGCGTGCAGCGACCAAATGCATTATAGTTGAAAAATTCTGCTTTTAATTTTACTCATGTGAGAGAAATGAGGGTTCACTGCACTACCAGCAGTCCTTGTCTTTTGAAATTGGACGAAATTTGAGATGATTTATGGTAACAAGTTCCCCGACGTTCTCAAGGCCTGAGATTTCTAAACGTCTTTCATTTAAGTGATGGACATTTTTTTCATTCAAGTGTCCATCGCAAGCGCCGTGAGATATTGCAAAACCACTAACTTCGCGCCACGTAACGCCCACGAGTGAGGAAATATGCACGTGCATGTGACCACAAATGAATACTTTGATTGGCCTGAAATATTAAAAAAAATTGTTCAAGCGCGAGTTTTTTCCTGGAAATTGTGAGCTTGATGGAAGAGCGCCGAATGATAATTTCACTTGCATCTTTAGAAGAAATCGCACCGCATTTACGACACAATTGTTACTTTCGTCAGAAGCGGAAAAACCGGAATGTAAACTGGCGAGTTAACGTTGAGATCAGTCGCGTCTCAGAGATATGAGAAATTGGAAATATGGCTAAACAATTTGATATCATAAATCGATCATTATATTTTAATGACGAATTGTGATGTATTGAGATGGTGCAACCGTAAATGTGCGGGTGTATGTATCAGGGATACCGACAAGAGGAAATAACGAGAAAAATAATTCATGATTTATCAGATTTATCAATGCCTCTTGTATGCTTGGAAATACAGAGGCAATTAAGATTACTGATCTGTATAAAAAAGAAAAATGTATATAAACGGGAGAGGGCAGAAAGAGAGGGTAGACGGGAGAGGGTAGACGGGAACGGGTAAATAGGAGAGGATAAACGGGAGACGGTAGACGGGANCCCCCATTAGAGGGCCTTTCCTCCCCATTAGAGGGCCTCCCCCCCCTGATGGCATTGCATGTGTTTGTGGTGAAATTAAAGCGGCACTTTAGACATGCCTACAACGCGCGCTCCGCTACACGCATACCGAGCACCCTGAGGCTGGATAAACGGTTTCAATGTGTTCAAATATTTATTAAAATACGTTTAGAAAAATATTAATTTTCAACCTATTTGGCTGTTTTACTTCATTGATGTAAAGGATTGTAAGTGTCGGTTTGACATGAGCAAAATTTTATCAAAATGTCTGGAAGGTATTGCATGTTTTGCTGCTCATTATTCACTACACAATTCCTTATATTCCTACACACTTTCCTATATTACAACAAACTTCCCTACATTCCTACACAGTTTCCTATATTCCTACACACCTCTCTATATTCCTACACACATCCCTATATTCCTACACACTTCCCTATAATATAATACACACTTCCCTACATTTTTCACACTTTTCTATATTCCTACACACTTCTTTTTATTTCTACACACTCCCCAATGTTTAATATGGAAAAAGCATTGGGTTACATNATTTTTCACACTTTTCTATATTCCTACACACTTCTTTTTATTTCTACACACTCCCCAATGTTTAATATGGAAAAAGCATTGGGTTACATTTCACAAACAGTGATACACTTTCTTAACCATAACAAAAAATGGCAATAGGATAACCAACTAAAGGGCAAAAGGTGCATCGCCGTTTGGATAAAGTCCCAATCATTATTTTGAGTGTTTATCATGTCCACTTCTTTTGAACTGCAGCCACTAATTTAATCACGATAAAACTTATTGAATTTCCTACGATGTTTTCAACAGCCAATCAACGAGACGCAGATTCTTCAGACAAAGATCAACAACAAAATCCTCGCGCGCCTGTATCCATCTCCAGCGACACCGGGGTGAATGGAGCATGTGGAGATGGTGGAGGTGGAGTGGAGGATTTGGAGCAGGAAATGCAGGATATCAAAGATAAGAGGATCAATGACAGCGAAGTGGAAAACAACAACACCAAACAGCGCTTCTCTTGCTTAGTTTGCAGGGTATGTTATGAAATTGATTTGAATTCTAATAGTACTTGGTCAGCATAAAATATAAAATAGGATTTTATTAGGTTTTTAGTGTAGAACACTTGCAGGTTAGCCTTGTGTTGCCCGGGCTTGATAATTCATGCCATTTTGGAACCCCAATTTCGCCGTTCCCAAAATACCTGAACCCGTTAATAACGACCAATCTTCTGCATTTCAATTAAATAAAGGCACCGTCAAGTCCATATTTTATATAGAAAATATGACTCCAATTTTACTCCTGTTCAAAAATATTGGATAAACTATTTTGCGTATTTTAAATTCACCAATGGTAAAGTCAAATTTATTTTTTTTATCCAATCATTTCCTCTAATTCTTTCACATTCTATCGCTAAGAATAAAAGTTAATATTCAGTGGTAATATCCGACACGATAAGTATCCTGGATACGCACCCCTTGCGCCCCTATATGTTTGTGGTGACAGGCTTCAAACACACATTCACACACAAAACAAAACTATCTAAATATTAATAAATAAAATTTTTTTGTTCTGCACTGCAACGAAATTTTATCATTTCTCGATTTTATTGACCGTCTGCATTTTATGGGATAAAATACAGCTTCTAATACATACACTCCAAATAAGATTAAGATCATCATAATTACATCGAAATGCTTGTTCAATGTTCATTGATTATCAAAATTACATCGAAATGCTTGTTCAATGATCATCGTATTACATCGAAGTGCTTGTTAACTCCTGCACGATGCTGGACAGCGCTCTAATTCGTGTATTGGTTTTGTTCTTGCAGAGTGAATACAAGCGGCCTGCGGTGTCGGTGGTGTGTTGGCATGTGATGTGTGAGGGATGCTGGTCCACCACCCTCGTGAGTGTCACTCATCCTTTTTTACATGTTATTATGTTGTTTTTCTTTCCGTTTATAATTGCAGAATTTTTTAGTCCTTTGTGCATAATTACCTTATTTTTCAGTCCTTTGTGCATATTTGCCTAATTTTTCTATCCTTTGTTCATAATTGACTAACTTTTTACTTTTAGCGCATAATTACCTAATTTTTTAGTTTTTGTGCATAATTACCTAATTTTTCAGTCATTTGTACACAATTGCTTAATTTTCAGTCCTTTGTACATAGTTACCCCATTTTTCAGTACTTTCTACATAATTGCCTAATTTTTCATGTAATTGCACATCATAATTTTGGGTCATTCTCGCTTATAAAAGTTCTCATACAATTCGTCAATACGAATTGTATTGATTGATTGATCTCAGATATGTTCCTAAAATTATTCCACTCATTTCTAAGCATCTTCACTGACACTTGTATTCGAATACTTCTATCAAAGTTTTCGAGTTCTCTTCTATAAATTTTTGAGTTTATGGTGGAACTAGTACCGGAACGATGCAAATATGATGAATATGCTTGGGGCTTTCTTCGCTTTTAAATTCTTGTACTGGAACAAGCAATGTTTAATGTGTGCAACATTATTATCAACATACAATTAACATTCATTAAGATTAATGGCGTGCACCATTGACATCTTTGCAGGGCGTCAAGACGGAGTGTCCGCAGTGCTTCCGCACCATGGCCGCCGAGGACGTCCGGCCCATACACTTGTGACGGCCCGAGCAGTGAACGGTAGGCCGTTAATGGGATCATGACCGTGCATACGCCAGCACGGGCCGTGAACGCGCAACGGTTAACGAGACCGTCATGACCGTGCCCACGCCAACACGGGCAGTGAACGGTAGACCGTTAACCGGAACGTTATAACCGTGTCCACGCCAGCACGGGCCGTGAACGGCAGACCGTTAGCCGGAACGTTATGACCGTGCCCACGTTAGCACGGGCCGTGCACGCGCAACGGCTAACGTACCGTCATGACCGAGTCCGCAAAACCGTGGACCGTTAACAGGCCTTCCCGATACGTGAGCGGCTACTCATTAAATGAAATTCTCATAAAAATGAAAAAATATCATTGAAAATCGCACGTTGGATATGTTAGTGGTGAAAGTTACAGAATGAGATGAAAGTGTTGTAGGATCGTGAAGGAACTTAGTGAGGAATGAACAGCAAGTAACAGGACCTGAGGGCATCCTGTTATGTGCCGTTTTTAGTCTGAATTGTTCACAGGACAAAATTTTGAAAATGTATAAACTTATGTGGCTAATTGAAATCAAAATTAATTCCGGATCTGGTTCGATCGGCGATCAAATTTTGTAATTTGAAAACGAGTTGTTAAAGTTTGTTGGAAGTTGATAGAAGCAGTCAATGCTGAAAAATCCTCGATATAAAAAACAAAGTGAGTGAAGTATCGAATTTATTGAATGAGAAAAAGCAAACGAGATCTCTCCGCCCGATATGCCAATCAGAATCATGGCGTGCACTGAACAGAAGAGCTTGTTCGATTAGCGCTTGCATATTTGTTGCTGAAACTCTGATAATTTCTGTACGAAATTATGCCAGGATGTTTCCATCATTTGTGTTCTAGAGTATCCGATTAATTAGGTTTAGACATTTTAACACCGGAAGCAAAGAAATTGGATGGCAATAGAAAATGCCGCTCTGATTCACCAGTATTTTGGCACGGCGCTCATGCACTATTGCTATATAATGAAGTGAAAATTTTGCAACGGAGATCAAGGCACGTTAGGATATGATTGGTCCATATAGTCCACCGATTGTCCGCCTATAATTTACAGGAGGTGTTGCAACACTACGTAATTTGGTTGCCATTGAACTTAGGCATTGTAACATATACGATAATAGATGTGATTACTTGACTGTTAATGGTGGATCCATTTGCTGTATATATGAGGGGCCGAAAATGTCTGTTTACTGAGCAGGTCTTCAGCTGCAACTCAAATTTTCAAAAACGAAAATAATTGCTTTTTTATATTTAATCAATTTTCAAAGTTTTGACTTTTCCTGGTTCTCCAATATCTTGTCCCGAGAATAACTTTGATGTGGTGTTGATAATTCTAAGTCTAAATATATTTGTTGGGAAATCGAGTAACAGTAACGTTAATTTAAACCGTTTAGTTCAGGAGCTCAATTTCTTTAAAGACAAGAAGGCTAGAAAAATATTGCCTCCCGAGAACGTCTAGCTAAATCTTGTGAATCAAATTTCATGTTTTTACGAAAATTATCATATTAACGAAGTCCCCCTTTACTTGCTTTGCTGGGCAGTTAGCGACTTGACAGCGATTCAGACGTGTTCTTAGGTTAATGCTTTGGTGCAATCTTTATTAGATGTTGTACAGACTTTACTGTGAACTGTACATAATAGAGTGCTGCACAAATTAGTATCCCTCGCAATAATTCATTACACAAACTCAGTGTGTTTATTTCTTAAGCTTATTACAGCCTCACTAGTTCAGCAATGGGAGAGTCGCCATGTGTACAGCGTGTTAGTAACGAGAAGAGTGTAAATAATGCAAAAGCTGAGAGATAAATACAACCATGTACGATTTGCATTCAACGGTAGCTGGTCCCTCTTAGCACACTGTGCTGTCAGGGTGCTACACGACGGCATGCAGTGCAATCCCGAGATTAAAATTTTCCATGTTAATTGCACAAGCGGGCCAAAACCCGTTATCGGTATACCGGTTTGCAGTATAACTTCACAATCAGCACTTACTATTTCCCGGCAATTGTCAAATACGATTTTATGGTATTGATTAGCTGATATATTCACGATCCCATGGATGAGCACAACTTTAATTCGTGATGGTGGATGACGGGTGAAGTAGGTTTAAGTTAGCAATCGGACACCTACATGCCCTATATGTACAGGAATTGCTACCATTGATGAATGGCTTTGTTGACGTTTTGATGAAGCGTTCTAATGAAATTATAATTTAACGGTGTAATTAAACGATCGTTTGACAATTTAGTGTGAATTTCCAGTTCTGTGATAAATAATGTATCAAGAAAACAGTGGCGCGCAGCTGTGACTGGGGTATAGGAGGGTAGCCAGCATAGCAGCTTTGCTCGCTTTGGTTCAAAGCTTTGGTTCTCTGGTTACCAGTTCAAAATAGATTATCTGTTATTGAGGTGTCATTCATGTAGTATATTGGAGAATAGGGGTTGCACTCAAATTCAGGGTCGCTTTTTTACATTTACTAAAAAGACATTGTTGTAAGTTGATGAGCAGCGATTTAACTAAATAAATTATGATTGATCGGTCGGTATTAAATTAACATAGTAACCACGTTGTCATATCTTCACTTTGCTGTATGTTGAAAACTTCATAAGTAGACGATATTCTCGTAATGGAAATCATGAAGGTTACACACTCGGGAGGTAAATAAACCGCTAGATATTAATTTCAATTTAAATGCGCCTCCACTGATTCCCTTAACTTTAGAGATATCCAGTGATCCTCTTCAAATAAAATAACATGACTTTTTTGTGCATATTAACTTCAGACGAGAAGTGATCATCCAATTGTAGATAACTATAAGTAGGCAAGAGTACGTATAACAAATCACGTGTAATATTATAAGCACTTTGTATGTTAATTGTTAGGGTTTCATTTGAGTGTAACTGAATTCTATATTGTTGGTATGCCGTCATAACGTTGAAATAAAGACAAAACCTCAATCTCATTATTGACCCTAACTNCGTCGCAGGTCCGGCAGCCCTATGATAGCCTGGCACTGCGGGCACTGGCGTTTGTTCACCTGAAAGAAGCAAGGAACATTTCCCTGGTTATTAACGCAGTGAAGTTAATGCTCTTGTACTCAGAATTTCATTCGGTAGGGTCAAAAGTCCAGACGATGCAACAATATTGTTGATCAAGAGAAAAGCTGCAATAGAAAACACTAAGATTGAAATTAATGGAAGGAAATTTTATGCGTGCTGGGATTAATTGAAATAGAAAATTATTTTAGCAAAAATATTAAAGAGTTGTAAAGAAATACTCTGAGAGCTGTTGCAATAATATGAGGTAAACACAGGATTGACGGGCTCAATAATCTCTGCAAATTTCACATTCACTCATAAGGAATCTCAAAAAATCCTATGCATTTTAATTACATTTTCCGTAGAAAATAGAATGCCCACTTGATTCTCAAAATTTACTAATCTATTTTGCACTTTTAAATGTACCTTATGTACCCTTATTTAAAATTCAATCTATAATTTCGGTCATTTCCTTTCATTTCAGCTTGGCAATGATATACTATTATCCCACAAAATAAATTTCCATGTCCAGGTAATATCTCGATACTATAATGATCCTAGATACGCACTCGAACACAACATTAATATTTGTAGCGCCTGGCTTGCAACACAAACGCATAAAAAACTTTAAACATTATCCTATTTTTAAAAGTTGAAAAAGTTAACACGTTGGCGTAATTAAATAAGGCAGTTGCATTACAGTGTCAGAAGCTTTGCAATCCGCCTATAGCTGAAGCCCACATTTCAGGCCGCTGTCGTCTAAATTTCATTAATTAACTAGCTAGTATTTACATACAAATACTTAATTGGATATTTATAATGACAAACCAAATTTTGGTTCAATATTAAATAGTATTCAAATTCGAAGAAAATTATTACGATGCCAACGCCAGAGGTTCAAAATGATTCAATTTAATTTCAGGACAAAACCGAGAAATCATTTAAAAATTTTCAAAACTAATTACTACAAAGCAAAGCAAATTAATCACGGCATTGGCTTTCACACAAAAGCTAAAGCTACAAATTTCAAAAAGCTGGAAGGCGAGTCAAGAAAAATTTTAGGAATACGTTAATTTACAAATATAATTAATATTCTCTTCTTGCTACTCCTATGCAAATATTAAGACAGAACTCTTTACTATCCATGGCATGACTAATTGATCAATTTTCAATACGTTGCAAGCAATACAGCGGCATTTTGCTCGTGACCTCATCAACCGAAGATTGTATCGCCAAGATGGATGAAATGTCCCTCCAACTGATTTTATTAGTGTAATCTAAAATAGTTATTATTTTTATTCTAATAATAACATTGAGACGCGAGAGCTTCACTTGGGGATCGAACTGGAGAGCTGGATTGTGAATTCATTGGCCTAAATTCTAATCAAATTTATTTTACAATCATTTGCCGAAGCGTAAATAAGAAATTAAGCATATCAAGAATTTAGATCGATGAAAAAATAAATGAATGGATAAGTGAAATGAGAATTGAATGATTCGGGAAAATTGAATTTCGAAGAGAATGCATGACTCACGATGATGCTGAGCCAGCAGCCGCGGCAGTGCACGTGCCAGCACACGGTCGACACCAACGGCTCCTCGAACGCCCCCTGCCATACAACCAGCAAATGATGTTCAAGTGATACATCAATAATTTCAGTAATAAATAAAAATTTTATTACTCACAACCTATTATAACAGTAAGTTCTATCATTCACAAACTCAAAGGTAAGTTGCATCGTAGAGCGTTGGAGGTCACGTTGGTTTTGTCCCAGTTCGGCCAAGTACATTTCCTCTTGCCAAGTTGTATTGGCTCGTGACCGTGACAAGATAAAATTCCAAGTTGTAGCATAAACAAACGTTGAGTTTAGTACAGGATGTACGTCGGCTACCGACAGCAATTTACATCCACGTAACTAATTCATTAACTATAATTCATTAATTGCTAACAGCCAAATTTCCGTGATTGATAATCACATATGATAATAGATTAATAAACCGAGCTCGTCAAAAGATTCTTAACAATACACACTAGTCATAAAATTAAAAAGAAAAAAATAATAAGTTTTAAAGATGAGGTAAATGTGGTTGAAGAAACACTTGAAAATTTAGTTAATTTACCACCAAATATTACGCTGCTATTTGTTATTTTTCATTTTGAACACATCGAGATATTAATTACCACTAAAATATTACCGATGGAAACGTCCTTATTACCTGAGAAGATCGCCAGCATGGTAAGTCTTTGCCACCTTTCCCCATTAAGTTACTAAAATTAATTGAAATAAATATTCTAATTGTGATGTTAGTTTTATGAACCGTCTATATCAGCCATCATTTCATGAAGCATTAATTCTTTGCTCGGACAATACGTATAGCTTTTCCACCATGCGTGAAGAAGTAGCTATCAAATTTTACGTCTCATGGCTACCTACTTCAAGACTTCAGAATACCTGATGAAATTGAAATAGAATTTATACTGAAAACTCACGCGGCAAACTGAGCATTGCAGCTGATTGCACCTGCTGGCTGCAAGCTGCTTCTTCAGCTGCTCCACCTGCTGCGTCAAGGACTCCACTGTCAGGGATGACGCACACTCGACGTCTGTTCCATCACCATCATCTGTTCCATCGCCATCGACTGTTCCATCACCATCGTCTGTTCCATCGCAGCACTTTTCTTTCTTGTGTGATGATAACATCAGTGATGAAGTTGGTGCATCGGCAGTAGAAATAGCAGACTCAGAAAGATACGTGTCTTTAGAAGCTGAACTTTCACGAGTTATGACAGTTGAGGATGCATATACTAAACGACAAGCCAACTCGGTAGACGGATCCTTGGAGGCGGCAATGGGCTGCGCCTTAGAAGACGCTAAAGAACCAGAAGGTCCAGAGGCTGTGCCAATAGACCCTTCTTCAGAACGAGATTCCATGCAATTAGAAGAGGATGCGAACTCAGTTACAAAAGTGGCAGTAGAGGAAGAACCACCAGAATCGCAGCAGTTACCAGAAGCAGATTCCAAAGCAGAGGAACTGGCAGAGGGGACGGTGGGAGCGGCGGTGTTTAAAGCTGAAGAAACAGTGTCCGTTGCGCCGCTACCTGGACTTGCGCTTGCGCTACCGGAGAACTCAACTGTTACTCGGTAACCCTTCACTTCTATACACCATTGACTGACTCTGTTTGATAATCTATAAGAAAAATTTCAATCGGGACAAAAATTTTGTAGTTTATAGTAATATGCAGATTCATGTTTCTCAAATTATTTATTTTCCTAAATCTTATTAAGTATTAGTGAATTTTCGTATTTCTAGCTAAATAAGTTAAAAAGTTTATTTCAACTGTCAAACTTATTTCCTTGAAAACTAAAGGCAAAAACGATTAGATTAGGAAGTGTTTCGAATTATTTTTAGGAAAGGACGTTGAGGTGGTGATGTGAAATTTGTAATGAAGCAATGAGAGAATAATGAGATTTATGAAGAAGGATGTCGATTAGTAATTAATGACCTCATCTGGAGTTATGATAGTATTCCACCGATTGAGAACCACTGATTGAGCTGACGCGTGTAAGGTGAGTAAGAATAAAACAAATAAAAAAACTAAAAAAAAACACGTTTTCTTAAAGGACAAAAAAGAAAAACATTAACTCTTACATAACATTAAAGTTATGTAAGATGGCATGTAATGTTATGTAAGAGTAAATGTTTTTCTTTTTTGTCCGTTAAAAAAACGTGGTTTTTAAAAGTTTTTTTTATTTGTTTTATTTCATTGTTTTCAGTTTGGTAAACACCAGAAAAACTTGTTTTTTTAATGTTTTTTTATATTTATTTTCTACTTTTTAGTTTAGCAATTTTGGCAATTCAAATCAATTTCCAGGGTTGGCAAGTCTGGATGTTCGACAAAAAAACTCGATTCCCAACCGTGAATTTTTAGTTTTTTTTCAATTAAAAAACAAAATTTTTTTTAATTATTACTCCTGATGATCAAATCTTGAATTATTAGGCAGCATAAGCATGCATGCTAAATTTAAAGTTTCTAGGATCTTCAAAAGTGCTCTAAATCAAAGTTTGAATTTTTGATGACAGACAGACACGAAACGAAGCTTAACTAAGAAAAACGTGGTAATTAACAGGCGTGTAAGGCGCGTGCGAATTGACGTATAAGGTGAGCGCAAACTGACGTGTAAGGTGAGTGAGAACTAACGTGTAATGACGTGAGCGCAAACTGACGTGTAAGGTGAGTGAGAACTAACGTGTAATGACGTGAGCGCAAACTGACGTGTAAGGTGAGTGAGAACTAACGTGTAATGACGTGAGCGCAAACTGACGTGTAAGGTGAGTGAGAACTAACGTGTAATGACGTGAGCGCAAACTGACGTGTAAGGTGAGTGAGAACTAACGTGTAATGACGTGAGCGCAAACTGACGTGTAAGGTGAGTGAGAACTAACGTGTAATGACGTGAGCGCAAACTGACGTGTAAGGTGAGTGAGAACTAACGTGTAATGACGTGAGCGCAAACTGACGTGTAAGGTGAGTGAGAACTAACGTGTAATGACGTGAGCGCAAACTGACGTGTAAGGTGAGTGAGAACTAACGTGTAATGACGTGAGCGCAAACTGACGTGTAAGGTGAGTGAGAACTAACGTGTAATGACGTGAGCGCAAACTGACGTGTAAGGTGAGTGAGAACTAACGTGTAATGACGTGAGCGCAAACTGACGTGTAAGGTGAGTGAGAACTAACGTGTAATGACGTGAGCGCAAACTGACGTGTAAGGTGAGTGAGAACTAACGTGTAATGACGTGAGCGCAAACTGACGTGTAAGGTGAGTGAGAACTAACGTGTAATGACGTGAGCGCAAACTGACGTGTAAGGTGAGTGAGAACTAACGTGTAATGACGTNATTCAACACTAGCAAGAGAAGTGAACTGACGTGTATGAGACGAGGTCAATTCAACGCTAGCAAGAGGAGTGAACTGACGTGTATGAGACGAGGTCAATTCAACACTAGCAAGAGAAGTGAACTGACGTGTATGAGACGAGGTCAATTCAACACTAGCAAGAGGAGTGAACTGACGTGTATGAGACGAGGTCAATTCAACGCTAGCAAGAGAAGTGAACTGACGTGTATGGGACGAGGTCCTCGTCAAAGACTTGCTGCGGCCCGTAGTCGTCGTCTGCGCACACCTCGACATCCTCGTCCTCCTGACCACGCTGTACTATGGTGCCCAGGGCTGCACAGTTTAAATGTTTATATTGAATTATAATAAACAATATTTGAAATATTAGAACTAATATTTAAAATTCATACAAGGGTGCACAGACCTAAGTTTGTGAATTCATATTAAATTATATTAAACAATATTTTTCAATCTGTTAACTTTATGCACAATAAAAAATACAATTGAAGTGTTTTACATTCGTCGTCAGCGTCGGCGTCGTCACTACTCAGGTCCTGACGAAATATATATGAAAGAATTTTATTTTTGATTTATTTACTTCAATATAATCGTGTCTGATCGTAATAAAACAGAAGGTACAGTATCTCGTACTGGACATTTTTTTACAAAGTAGTTTAATATCGCTGCAGAAAAAGACTAATTTAGGGCATAGAAGAATGAAGTTATGAATATGCGCGTGTATGATTATTTACATAAATTAATACTGAATGAGCATCTGAACTTCGTGCTGCAACAGCACCAAAATACAGTGCTCAAGAAAATGTCCCGTTCAATCATCATGAAGGTAAATAGTATTAAACCACAATTTTGCAAGGCATCAGAAACTATTAAATAATAATTTCAATAATAGGTGGAAGGCATCAGAAATTATTGAATAATAATTTCAATAATAAATGGAAGGCATCAGAAATTATTGAATAATAATTTCAATAATAAATGGAAGTCATCGACATTATTGAAAGAAAATAATTCTGGCAGTGCACCTCGTATTGAGTAATAATTTTAATAATAAATGGAAAGCATCGACATCAATAAAATAAAATACTTTTGACAGCTTACCTCGCAAGTGTCCACGTGTCTGTGGTAGTCAGGCAGCGGCAGCACACGGTAGCACTGAGGACACATGGCCTCTTCCAGCCTCCCTAGCCTCTCCCTCTGATCCCTCAGCCTCTGCCACCGCCGCCGCCGCAGCCTCCGCAGCTCGCGCCTCTTCTGCACCAAGAAAAATGTGGCCTCGGTGAATAATTCAACTTTTTGGCAGACGTATCNTTGTCACCAGGAAGTATGCAAGAGATGCAGTCAACACAAGAACGCAGAAGGTAAACTCTGAAGTGATCAGTTGAGATCGCACACAGTGTGTTCCCAGCGAGCACCGTAAACTCTCAAGTTTGTTTGTGCGCGAGAGCGGCGCACATGGCGCGTCCTCTGGTGGCGACCACACGCAAGCTCAACAGGTGCCGACGGATCTTGTCCGAGGCGGCGTCCGGTGTCGGAACACACATCAGTTATCACGATGTTAGCTCATAAAGAAAGGTTCGGCCGAGGGTGAAAAGTCATCATTATAAGAGAGTCATAAGAAAAAAATAATCACTAGCACGTTCAAGCGTGAATTATTTGTTTCAATTGCAAAATTAAAGCGAATTAAGCGAATTCCTCACCAGTTACTAAAGCATTTACCTAGTAAGAATCACAATTTTTTGGTATAGAATATTATATAAAATTAAATGTGTAACAATCAGATGTCAAAATCACTCCATACTAATCCAAACACACCAAAATTCCGGACCGAAGAGCGACAACAGTCTTGCATGTAACAAACAAATAGCTGTTATAATCTAGCCATTCCCTTCTAAACGCATAGCCAAACATGTTCTCATTTTATAAAATACCATTCAAAACAGGAATCTTATCAAGAGAAACGGATTTTATCTTCCAATATAACACAGTAATAAACAATTTTGAATAAATTCAATGCACAATATTACACGAGCAGTGAATAAGCTAGAGATAAATTAAAATCCCACATTGCTCAAGATTGATTCAACGCTGCAAATGCTATACAATTTAGAGGCACCAAATAAATTTAGTGTTTTGAAGGTAAATTATGAAGAATATTAAACATATGTAGTAGTACTCGTGTCTAAAACATTCAATAAATATTCCTTGTGACCTTCTCGTTCCTAAAACATCCAATAAATATTCTTTATGACCTTCTCGAAGCCTGAAGCACGCAATAAGAGTGCAGACCACGTCGACACCCACAAAAACTCGCTAATCTCCTGCAAGTGCGCAAATAAGCTCCGTCGATTATCCGATTAGCGGGCAAATATTGTCAGTATAGCTTCGCAGATATCGTCTGAAGGCTCGAGTGTCGCAACACACAATTAGCCTGGCGAACAAAAAGATGCGATAACACGAGACCAAAAACAATAAGTGCAGGGGCGATCGACGAGATAGATTCTCCTTCAAAAGTTGAATCGTGGTATGAAAATAATTAAATATATCCTGTGTAACTAATATGCCCGGATGCAAGTAATAGTGTATAAATTTTTAACCTTCCGCACGTGGAAAATCTTTTTCTATTCGTTGAGATATTACAATGAATTCAGAGATCAGAGACCAGAGTGTACGCACATATGAGAGGGCCAGAGCACAGGAATAATGCGATCCAGCGTAGGAGGCATTAAGCTGTCCGTCTTGTGTAAGGGGAGCCTGCAAGCTCGCCATAGGCCCTTCTTGCCTTACATGGTGGGCCACCCACACCCACACTCCACGCACCTCATCTCTATATGTAACGAGACCCAACAGCTGACACATTAGCTCTTATTTTCACACCGATACAATCGCAAGCACAAAAAATAGCCAAGGCGACTCAGACATATCCACGCCACTGGCCAGCCGATCTCAGGCAGTGCACCAGCAACTCGAGCCTATCGTGCCCACGACACTCAAGACTGTCGGGCTGCGCATTTTTCTAGCACTCGGTCATTCGGGGTAAATCACTTGACGTAAAAATTCTGCTAAAGGAAGACCAACGGTTTGCCGACCATTAACTTGCCCTAATTTTTAACAGTGGTCAAGTCGTAGGTCTTGAAATGTATACTATTGATGATTTGCAGGGGTTTTGCTGCTTCAAATTAGCAAACACTTAAATGCTTAGTTGTATGCTAATTTCTAAACGCTTATAATTAGTAAAAGTAGCAGTTATCTGCCTTGTCTGACGTAATTTGGCACTTCTCTGCAATTAAATCAGCAAATACCTGATATTTCGTTCATCTTCTTTCAAGTTTATATGCAGGGTTTTAATTCAACTGAGGTTTTTGCCTGAGTCACACTTTTTTTGCCTGTGCATTTGCACACTTCAACTTATGCAACTAAAAAAACTGTTGGTATAAATCTTTATTCAATCATTTACAAACTTTGGTAGGTGATTGTTTTTCAAAAATTGGTTAACTACAGTACTACAACCCAATCATATGTCCGGGAAAATATAACCCATGTCTTCAATCGTTCATTTGTAGTTTCTTGGACTCGCCTAGACTGGCCAACGTCGTGTTATACGGAGCATTTTATTAGTAGCGCTGAAAGACTTACAGAGCATTCCAGCAGTGGCGGTGAAATAATCAGAGAGCATTTTTGGGGCTACAATAAAAAGATCGTAGAGTATTCTGGTGATTGCGCTGAAAGATTCACAAAGAATAATGCATAGAGAATTCTTACAGATCCTCTGAACGAATCCCGAAATATTATTTCATATAGATGCGAAAATAAAACACTCCCAAATCATTCCTGTAGTTTCGCTGAAATAATCACAGAGCATCCACGCATATGTGGCGCTGAGAGCATAAAAAGTCCTGTATAGTTACGATGAAAGAATCACAGAACATTCTTATGGTTTACCTGGAAGAACCACAGGGCATTCTTAGAAAGAAAGTCAAGGTAAGCCAGAGGCTAGAAAAATAACAGCTTTTCTACTCAGAGTACACAAATTCTGTAGATATTCACCGCATACCCTCAATACGAGTGAACAAAACTGAGAATAAGTAACATATGAGTAATTACGGAATGGTAAGCCCTGGGTCTCCAATTGATGCTAGGGTCCAATTGGGTTACCCAACAGCCCGGAGATGACCAAAGGTATGAACGTAAAGGCAGTGTTGTTGGATAAACTATTAATTTCTTGAGTATCACAACGTAAGATGTCTCACGAAGGCCTAATATGAAGTGATATATGCTAATTTCAACTATTGATGGATTTACAAATAACCGTTGCGTTTAATCAGTGGGTTGAAGATTTGTGTGGCACTGCCAAATTTTTAATCTTTAACGGGAAGGCTTTGGTCTCGTTAACGTCTGAATCAGATTTTAATGAGACTAGATTTTCTGGCGAAATTGATGTCACTATTCAAATCACGCAGGTAAAGGCACCTACCAAATCAAAGATTTTGACTCAGAGATTCTTCACAATGTAATTCAGTTGAGTGTAAAAGCAAGCCATACCCAAATGTGCATGTAACCAGAGCTCGCGGCACTGACCGCATGACACCGGAGCGGGCCGTATACGTGGCCGCTCCTGCACTCCCTTAATACGACCATACCGCGCCTATAGACTTCCAGGATACCTTCTTTCAGCGTATCGTACAAACATATTGCACGACTACGCAAAGGTTTCAGGGCTCTTTCTTAAAAACAGTAATATTTAAGATAGCAGGTAAAAAAATATGCGTTTGAAAATTACTTTTTAAAGACAACACTTCTAAAGTGGCCAGTGTCTCCGATGTTACACAGGTACAATGAATTTCTTATTTAATTTTTAAATATTAAATAAAATAATTTTTTTTACATTTTTTAACATATGTAAAAAATTCAATTTTTAAATTATTTATTCTGTCAATTGATTCAAGCCTTGTCTTCGACTTTACACAAGTGTGCAATATTTCAGATCGATTGGACAGGTAGAAGTGTGTTGAATATTGATTATAAGATTTGTAACAGACAAACAAACAAACGAGAAGTGAAGTTAAAGAGAAGTGTTGTAAAAAGACACTTCGAATTGTCTTAACTTTTTTTAAATTATAATAAATAAAGACTAGCCTTCTTTCTAGTCAATTGTAATAACAGGCGA